CCCTGCTCTGTGTTTTTCCCAGGAATCATCTTTTCCTTACCCATTCAGAAGTCATTTATTAGACAAGTATTAACGGAGAACATTTGTGAAAAGTCTTGCATGAGGAGGTTGTGGGGTTCAAGAGGCGATTAAACTTGTGGCCCCTGCCCTCTAGAAATCATAACACGGAAAGGAAGTTTTAGCCTGTCAGCCCTGTAGGTAACAAAAGAGAGATGATGAACATCATTGGCTCTTTCAGAGTTTTTTTGTCTTCCGAGGAAGAAAGGCTCGAGGAGGGTATTCACGTACGGGTGTGGTTTTCAAAAGGTGTGGGATCCAAGAGGTATTTGCGGAACAGAAACAAAGTAATGGCTGTTAAGGGAAAATTGTTTCTCTAGTCACAGCACTGATCCAATGTGTGGGATTTCCACAATAAGTGATTCTCTAATTCTGTTTGGACACCCACAGGATATCCTACAAGTTAATTCAGCTTTGACACTGACTGCCCGCCCAGAGTCAGCCCAGACTGCACAGGTTCAAGGCAGGGGGCTCAGTCCCAGAAGACCACCCTCACTTCAGGCCCTATAGTCAGCGGGCCCCCAGGTTACCAGTACTGCCATCTGACTTTGCTACAAATCACAGCCTCCCAAGACACTTCCTCAGGTTCAGTAATTTGCTAGAATGGCTTTCAAAACCCAGGGGAACGTTTACTTGGGTTTACTGGCTTATCATAAAGGGTACGGTTGAACAGCCAGATAAAGAGGTGTGCAGGGCAAGGTCTGGAAATGTCCCAAGCACAGGAGTTGGAGTGTCATCTTCTGGTACATGGATGCATTCGCCAAACCTGAAAACTCTGAATCTTGTTATTTAGGGATTTTAATGGAGGTTTCATCTCAGCTCCTAACTAATCTCTAGTTCCTCTCCCTTTCCCAGAGAACTGGGGTGGGGGTGGGGCTGTGGGGTTGACAGTTACAAGCTTCTAGTCGAGGCTTGGTCTTCCTGGCAGCTCACCCCCTTCAAGAAGCCATCCAGGAGACCACCACGTGTCGCCTCACTTAGAGCAACAGAGGATCCTGTCACTAGGCGAATTCCAGGGGATTTAGGAGACCTGTGTCGGGAACTAGGGATGAAAACCAAGAATATATTTATTACTATATCACAAGTGCCGCGGGAAGGTGTAAACTCGGCGTAGATTGTCGAGTACGGGAAATAGAAGTTGCGTATTAAAAACTAGGAAAGCAGGTAGCTCATAGAGGGCTTGGGAGTCTGTGTCGTTCCGGTCGGCTATGCAGAATCATTTAGGATTTTTGTATCAACAGGTTATATGGGGGGGCCTGGATGGCTCGGTCAATTAGGCGTCCGACTTCTGCTCAGGTCACGATCTCACGGTTCATGAGTTCCAGCCCCACATCAGGCTCTGTGCTGACAGCTCGGATCCTGGAGCCTGCTTCAGATTCTGTGTCTCTCTCTTTCTCCGCCCCCCGTCCCCCACTTGCACACACATATTCTCTCTCTCAAAAAACAAAAACAAAAACATTAAAAAAAGTTACATGGTGGGTGGGGCGCCTGGGTGGCTCACCTGACTCTTGATTTCGGCTCAGGTCATGATCGCGTGGTCATGAGATCGAGTCCCATGTCAGGCTGTGTGCTGGGCATGGAATCTGCTTAAGATTCTCTCTTTCCACCTCTATACTTCCCCAGTTTGCCTGAGGGTGCTCGCTCTCTCTCTCTCTCTCTCTCTTTCTCTCTCTCCTAAAAAACAATATCATCAGAGGCATGCAAATCAAAACCACAATGAGATACCACCTCACACCTGTCAGAATGGATAAAATCTTTTGATAATAGAAAAACAAAAAAGTCTTGGCAAGGAGAAAAAGGAACCTTTTTGCACTGTTGGTGGGAATGCAAACTGGTGTAGCCACTCTGGAAAACCCAAGTGTGGAGGTTCCTCAAAGAAAGAAAAATAGAGCTACCATATGATCCAGTGGTTCAACTACTGGATATTTACCCAAAGAATAAAAAACATATATATTAATTCAAAGGGATATATGCGTCCTATATTTATTGCAGCATTATTTATAATGGTCAAATTATGAGATCAGTCCAAGTGTCCATTGATAGATGAATGCATAAGGAAGATGTGGTATGTATATGTGTGTATCTATCTATATATAGAGAGATGACGGAATATTACTCAGCCATAAAAAGAATGAAGTCTTCCCATTGTCAATGACAGGGATGAATCTAGAGAGTATAATGCTAAGTGAAATAAGTCAGAGAAAGACAAATACCATATGTGGCATTTAAGAAACAAATGAACAAAACAGAGACAAACCCAGAACCAGGCTTAACTGTAGAGAGCAAATTGATGGTCACCAGAGGGGAGGTGGGTGGGGGGATGGGTGAGAAAGGTGAAGGCGATTGAGAGTGCACTCACTGTGATGAGCGCTGAGTGATGTGTGGGATTGCCAAGTCATTACATTGTACTCTTAATACTAATAAAACATTATGTCAACTGCACTGGAATTAAAGAAAGCTTTTTAAAAGTCACATGATCAGAACACGCATGAAATTAATCTGGCTGCAGGACGTAGGATAAATTATGAGTGTAGAATATCAGGTGAGAGCAATCAAGATTCACTTTATAATAACCACTTTGTGTGTCCATCAGCTTTTGCGTGATGCAGTGGTAACTCTCCAGTCACTACTCAGTGGCTTGAGACCACTGAGGTTTATTTCTTAGATGCTCTATGTCAGCTGAGGTCAGCTGTGGCCCTGCACCGTGTGGCTTCGGTCTGGGCGCCCATCTAGAGGAGCAGTCCTTATCTAGGATGTGCTATTACTTCGGCAGAGAGAAAAAGAAGAGAACCAGGCAGTGGCCTCTTACCTGGCTCTGAACTGGCAACATCTCTGTCCAGGTTTAATTGGCTGAAGCAAGTCACATGGCCAAGCCTGATGTCAGTAAATCAGGGATTATATTCCTCCTACCAGAGCACTGCAGTCACATCAGGCAGGGATGTGTAATCCCCTTTCAGGGAGGACAGTGACTAATCTGGAACAGTAATACAATCCATTACACTTTGTCATCCCAAGTCACATTTGTTAAAAAGCAAAACAAAAACAAAAACAACAAGAAAAACCTCCCAAGAAACAACAAAATCCTCAGAATCATGCTGCTGTACATTTCTGAATTGAAACTTCTGTAGGCTCTCTGCCTGTCTCCTCTTTCCTTCTCTCGGACTTTGTTCAGAGGCAGATGTCCCCACTGTAACCGTGTGCCTCTCTAGATGCCTAGAGATACAGCTGAACGGCTACCAGGTTCATGGACTACAGACCCCATCTCTCTTGCTTTTGGCATCAATCCATCTCTAAAACCTACTGGACCAGGCCAACTCTCAGGAATCTCTCCCACCTCCCCTACCTCTGGGAGAGTGAACTCTCTGCCAGCCTTCCCAGTGTAATCTGTTTACAATCCCTGGAGTACCTTGGGTTTCCCATCTCTGCTGACCTGGGGACTCAGGGTCCACCCAGCTTCTCTGTGCTGGACCACCACGCCCGGTCCCGCAGGGGTGATCGGCAAAGGAGACGAGATACTTGTCGGGTCTAAACCAGTTCCAGAGATCGCTCATGGCAGGTGGTGCCTCGGTGACTCAAATTCAATCTGGGTTTTATTTGATTTTTTTTTTTTTTTTTTTTTTGGTTTTAGTGAGCAACAACCGTCATTTATTAGACACCATGCAGCACATACACAGATATTTGCAGCTTATCTTCTGGCCTGTTTTTGTTGATGAAGAAATATTCTTGTGTTTGAAAACACCCAAATCACCTTGTGAATATGCTGTTGGTGAAGTTATCCCGGTGGCTAGTTTTTTGTTTTTTTGTTTTTTGGGGGGGTGAAGCAATCAGAGCATGAAAGAACCAGGAGGAAAAAAAAAACACAGGTTGTATATTTGTGACACCCTCACCCTCGCCCCTCACAACCAGTGAGGCAGATTTTAGAACTGAATGATAAAGGGCTTAAACATGAAAAGAATGGAGTATCAGAACGAGTTGGAATTCAGTTAGTACTGCATTGCTCACACACCACTAATTTGTACGTTTGTGGTATAAAACGGGAAGGTCTCCACCCTGTTATAATATCGGTCTGGGACTTGGGAGAGCTCATTCCCGCTTTCAAATTTATTGGAACTCTGGATGTTTTCACTTTCAGTGCCTTTTCCCACAGGCTGTTGAAATTCACACGCTATCTTCAGTCCTGTATTCCAGGGCGACCCAGCCCGATGACTTCTTCCTTTAACATCTCTCACATTTATTTTCTTCCAATAGTAGCTGGGAGTCTGTCTGCTGAAAGTGACTGGAACTCAAAGTGGAGAGAGCGCAAGATAAAGTTATACGAATGACTTTGGGGCATCCATTACGAGGACAGGAGGTGGCTGGGGTTCAGATGGCAGTCGCCTCTCCTGATTTCCTCATCTCCTGTGCCTGTTCCCATGTGGGTCCCTTGCCTTCTGTCTCTCACTGCTTTCCAGCTGCTTCTTTAGTTCCTGTGGTTAGAAGCATGGCCTCAACATGTCCCAGATTTTTATAGCATCAGTCATTTGAGAGAGACTTGTTTGGCTTCCCTAATTTCAAATCCAAAACTCCCAAAGACATCCACTTTAGGGCCAGTTAACTATGGCCAAGAGATTCTGGACTAAGTGTCCCCCATGCACACAGGGGCTCGTCCTGCGTTCTTCCTTGAGTAATCATACGTGGAATATATGATTTGATTTGATTTGATTTGATTTGATTTGATTTGATTTGATTTGGCAGAGTGTGCGTGAGGGGTGGGGGAGAGAGAGAGAAAGAGAGAAAGAGAAAGAGAATTTCAAGCAGGCTCCATGCTCTGTGTGGAGCCCAATGCAGGACTTGATCCCGTGACCATGAGATCAGGACCTGAGCCAAAATCAAGAGTCAGGCGCTCAACTGGCTGGGCCACCCAGGGGCCCTTGAATAAATGATTTTGCATGCCACATAAGAACATGGCGGTAGCTCCCGGGAACCTCGTGGCTGGTGTGGGAGTTAGCACAATTGTCCAAAGGAAAGATGCTATTTCTAGAATAAATAAGGTATGGGTTTCTGAGCAAAAAAAAAAAAAAAAAAAAAAAAAAGTGATTTTCACTACAGCTTCTCTCCATCTGCGCCGAGGCTGAGAATTAAAAACTTTTACCTTCTTCGTAACGCTTTGCTAATTGACCTCTTTGTTGTTCATCTTACACCCATTCGGTCCGTCTTCCACACAGTTGCCCCGGTGATCATTCAGAGTAAGAACGAAGCCCTGTCATCTGCCCGCGAGCTTCTCAGTAAGGAGCATGAAGTGTCCCGTGGTCTGCCCCCCACCCAGTTCTCCCCTCCTCCTTCCCCTGCCCACTGCTCTTGCAAACAACTCCAGTGGCCCTTGCTTCCTTTTCTTCTGTTGCTTGCCAGGTTCCCCCTTTCCCTGGAGCACCTTTCCTATTTGTCTTCTTCATGATCATTTGTCAAACTTCAGCTCAAGCTTTACCTTCCCTAGAAACATTTCTGGAGGCTCGCTCCTCCACCACCAGCCCCACTGGGTCACTGTTTGATCTTCCTATGTCTGCACTGCCTTCTACAGCTCACGCTCTTTCCTTCTCTTGGTTACTTCCCTCTATTAGAGAGTGAGGGCTTTACAAGTGGGGGGCTCTTGTTTCTGTCCTGACCGGCTCAGCAGATGCTTACGACAAAGACAAGCCAGTTCTTTGACGAGCCACTTCTCCGCACACCCATAGAAATTCAACCTGTGGTGTAGAGTGGCACTTGCCCACAGCTTAGCCGTTTCCTACGACAGAGCGTGAATTCCCCGAGACCAGGGGCATTGCCTCATCAGCCCGTTGGTGCACAGCAGACGCTGCTGGCTTGTGTTGAGTCTTTACGCAAAATCTGGCTTTGACATCTTCCCAGTCAGTCAGCCAATATTGACTGTGTGACTCAAGATGTCGTCTGGTGTGCACATCTAGGCATAGATAAAGAAAATGATTAATCTCTGCAAAAAGGGAACCGTTACTCGACAGCATTTTAATGGGAAAGTAGTGTCTGCTGGTAGAAGTCACCAGTAATAGGGGTGACCATCATGGTACTTCTTGATGCACAGGAGCAGATATGCTCTCATGCAGGGCTTGAGTGGGTGCTGGCAAATCCGCTTTTGCAAACAGCGGTGGTTGGAGATGGTTCTGGGGGATCAGACAGGCTTCAATGACCAACTTCCCTTTCCGCTTCAGGCCAGCTTCTTCAAGATGAACGACATCTAACTCTTCTTTTTTTTTTTATGACCCTTCACATCTCTGACTTAGGAGAAAGAAATGAAGGGGAAGAGTGTCAAAACTTGACACTAAAAGGAAGATTGCGACATGACCCGAACTGTCTAGGGCTTAAATTTGGGGAGGGGGTCTGATTCAGTTCTCATAACGGTGTGCTGAAATGCGAACAGATTTGGCACTTGTCTTTCAGATTAACTGGGGTCTTTGAACTTGACAAAATTGAACATTGGCAAGCCAGTACTTCTAAAGCTAGAGAAATGGGGGTTTGTGAAGAGATCTCAGGCGCAGTTTCAAAGTTAGGTAGTTGCCACAACAGGCTGTTAATGGCAGCTGGGGCTGCAGATGTGAACAGTGGATTGAGTGTGCAAAGAGAGGAGGGTGACCGTGTAGAACGAGAGGAGGGAAGCACACTTCTTCATGCAAAGGAAAGCTCGTCCACATGGAGTGGAGTTCTTTTCCCCCAAGGGAAGCCCTTTAGATTCTGGATTTGGGAGGTAGCAAGTAGTGTGCTTTGCATTGATACTTTTGTTAACAGAACTCAAGAAACTATAGCAACTCTTCCGCTGATGGCCGTGGGGATCTTTGTTGCCTTTTCACTTTGCTTTCTTAATTTGATGAAGCGAATCGAGCTATCACACCATCTACTACATCTGTACCTGTAGGAAATAAGGAAATGAATCCGCACAGCCCCTGGCTCAGGGGAGGTCGCGGCTCAGTGAGACTGTGGAACACCGGACTGTGCATGGTAAATACTAAACACTCCACAAGCGGTAGGGCTACTATCTGGGGAGAGAAGCCGGCTCGTAGATGCCATTAATACTGGTAGCAGAGCTGCCGATAGAGAGTCACTGTTTTACACCAGGCATCGTATTGGTAGGTATTTGCTTAAATCCTCACAATCCTAATTGAATGTAAAATATGCACTTATATAGGTAGAGGATGTATTAGAGAGGTACAGCTTTTCACTAAGCCAGCACAGAGGAAGGAGGGTGAGGAAACACTGGAGGAGGTGACCTTTGGGCAGGACTTGAAGAACGCGTGGTAGATCACCAGGCAGAGGTGAGGAGAGGAAGAGAGCTGCTGAAGGAGGGATTCCCTCACAGGTCTCCATTCTCCTTTCCTCCTTTTGCCTGTGGACCTCCCACTGTGCTTAATATGCCCGGAGGATTCCTTGGTCATGGGTGGAAACTCTCAGAGCTGAAGATCTGGGTAACTCTGGACAGAATAGATGACTAGGGGTGTTTGCTCAACTAATGTCTGTAGGGTGACCCTAGTCCTGTTACTTCCACAGTTGAATGAAAACAGAGGCTTTGACAAGGGACCACTGTGGTGTCTCCTAGGGTCACAGTAACCAGTCAGTGTGTGCCATGTTAAGCAGCCATCTACATGAAAACAGATTTACAAGACCATTTAATTAAAAGGTACTTTACCAAGAAGTTGGTTTACAGAGCAAATTCTCAGATTTTTTGTTTGTTTGTTTGGTGGAATTATGGACAAGAAAAACATTAGGAAAACCAAAGTCTTGGCCTCTAAGAATTAGTAATTTAGCAGAACAAAGGGAATCTCTATCACACACATATTACCACCCCCCCCACACACAGATAAGAAATTCACAGCAATGAGTATCCTTAAGAGTTTTATAAAGAAGTAACATTTGAGATGTCATTGAAAGATTAAAAAAAATTTTTTTAACGTTTTATTCATTTTTTGAGAGACAGAGACAGAGTGTGAGCGGGGAAGGGCCAGAGAGAGAGGAAGACACAGAATCCGAAGCAGGCTCCAGGCTCCAAGCTGTCAGCACAGAGCCCGATGTGAGACCCGAACCCACAAACCATGAGATCCTGACCTGAGCTGAAGTCAGACACTTAACCCACTGAGCCACCCAGGTGCCCCTGAAAGATTGTAATTTGGAGAAATTGAAACAGAGTGGGCTTTCCTCATTGTGTCAGAAATCTGATCTATATGTTTAGAAATATTTGTTTATGTACAATTATCTTGAGATAAGTTGGGGTTCCTCACTTTCTGCCTAAAGAAGGGGCTGTAAGAGGTAAAAATGATTTCGGGGGCGCCTGGGTGCCTCAGTTGGTTAAGCATCCAACTCTTGATTTTCACTCAGGTCATGAAATCACGTTTTATGGGATCGAGCCCCGTGTCAGGCTCTGTGCTGACAGTGCAGAGGGTGTTTGGGATTCTCTCTCTCCCTCTCTCTGCCCCTCCCCAGTTTGTTCATCCCCCCCCCCTTTCAAAAATAAATAAGTGTAAAAGAATGTATTTTAAGTAATTTTGGGGGAAAAAAAATGTCCCTTTTGTCCCAAGGGCAATTGTTTTATGTTTTGTTATTTTTATCCAGACTATTTGCAACCAGAGGACAAACAATATGCCTAATACATAATTGAGTTCCCTGTAGTACCTGAAATTGAGAGGGGTGGCAAATAGGTATTCGTGATTGCTGTGGGGATCAAACATCATGCAGTTGGAGAACTTCTCGGTGAATCCACACCAAGGATGAACGGAAGGCAGTTGCTTTGCATGGACCTGCGTGTTTGGTTTCCATGGGTCGGGAAAATGATGACAGATCGTGTTTCTTAGGACGCTGATGCCTTCTGGTTCTTCAAGGACACAGAAGATTCTTGCATTTTTAAAAATTTGATTTTGCTGAAATGCCATCAGAGCTAGAACTTTTAGGTAGGACTGGAGTTTGACTGTGTTGCGTCCTGTGCCTGCATCCTGGAACTCCTTTGCCTCGGAATATATACCACTCAGCACATTTGCCTTATTAAAAACAGCTTGTCGTAACTTTACTAGATGTTCAGTGGTTCACAAACATGCAAAGCTAACATTTTTAAGAGAGCAATGAAGGTGGAACAGATGTGAACAGCAAGCTGCAGGGAATTAAATGCCAGTATGAGTTTTACAAGTTGCAAATGAGGAGGAAGGAGTGGGATTCTGAGAAGGTAGAGTAAAATTTTCTTGGAAACAACAAAGACAATGGCTTTCAGGGTTGGAAACAACTGGACAGCATCTGTCCTCTTGGCTCTTTATCAAATTGAAGGCTCTTGGAAGGTGTGGGTGCTTTCACAAAAAATGCTCACCATGTGGGTTGGCGTTGACAAGACCAGAAATTTACACTTGGTTTCCAAATTTGATTTATCGTTTTAGTCAGTTGTATGCATCGAGAAGTCCCCCACCCCCACACCGCAGTTACCATGCTAGGGCCTTCGTGATGAATAGAGGAAATAAGCATTTGGGAATTTTATTTCATTTTATTTTTGTTTAACATAATTTATTGTCAAATTGGCTAACATACAGTGTATACAGTGTGCTCTTGGTTTTGGGGGTAGATTCCATGGTTCATCACTTACATACATCACCCAGTGCTCATCCCAACAAGTGCCCTCCTCTATGCCTGTCACCCACTTTTCCCTCTACCAACCCCCATCAACCCTCAGATTGTTCTCTGTATTTAAGAGAGATGGAGGGTTTGCCTCCCTCCATCTCTGTGTGTAACTATTTTTTTCCCCTTCCCCTCCCCCATGGTCTTCTGTTAAGTTTCTCAAGATCCACATATGAGTGAAAACATATGATATCTGTCTTTCTCTGGTTGACTTATTTCATTTAGCATAATACCCTCCAGTTCTATCCACGTTGCTGCAAATGGTATGATTTTATTCTTTCTCATTGCCAAGTAGTATTCCATTGTGTATATAAACCACATCTTCTTTATGCATTCATCAGTTGATAGACATGTAGGCTCTTTCCATAATTTGGCTATTGTTGAAAGCGCTGCTATA